AGGACTTCAGTTCTGGTGTCTCATGGTGGAGCCTGCTGTGGAGGGTTGAGTTCCTCAGTGACAGAGAGGTGATTTGATTTCTTCTGTGGCACACTTAGTTAAAGGCATCCATGCACAAGTCTCAGGACAACTAGTATTATAGCTCTTTGAATTCTCACATAAGGAAGCTTCCTGAGAGGTCAGGGAAGCTAGATCAGAGGTTTTCAGATGCAACTGTACAGCTATGCAAAGCACGTCCTCCCACTGACCTACGTGTGCAGCTGACTCTGTGGCAACTGCCCTGATCCCTCTTTCCCTGTGACAAGTTCTCCTTTGGACCCCATTGCACATTCCTGCCACCTGATATTGCTATAGCCCTTCTCAGTCTGCTAGAACATACTTTCGCTATCTTTGCAACTTAGTAGGGGAGGAGGGCATGTCTATTATCAGTTAGGTTGTAAGATGCATACAGAACATTCAGTGGGAACTGGTGTAAGCTGTAAGGAAGCATTGACCAGCACACCTGGGAGCCAGAAGCAAAGGGACTTCAGAGTTGACTTCAGATAATATCTCTGGTTTTAGTTTTCTCAGTTGTGTCAGCCTTGCTGTCCTCCATGAACCAGTATTTTTCTCAGCTACCATCAAGGCTGTTGCCCCAGGTCTTTTGTCTACACATGACTTTACTCAAAGGGGCTACTTCTGGAAACTCTACGACATCAAAAAACTTTCATAAACCCTCTGGCAAACCTCTTTTTGCATCTCATTGTTCAGAAAGGATCAAATGACTGTTCCTGAAGCCAGTGCTCAGAGTAGAGCCAAGTTACTCTTAGATTAATTAGGGTGAGTGCTGGAGTGGGGAATGGTGTTGAGGTTTCTCAAGGAACAAAGGCTGTGTGGAGGAAGGATGGACACATGGACAAAACTGAGATTCTATTAGGAAGAAGGACAGGGGGCACAGATGCTGGCTAGGCCACCAGCAGTGGTTGTTCCAGAGCCTCACTCCCTCTTTTCCCAGGAATCTGCTGCATCCCAATGTAATTTTATAGATGGGAATGGATGCTGAGGGGGCAACTCAGTAACAATGTCAACATCCCAAACCCAACCAGATGGTCATTTTAGGAAATGTGACATCTAACTCTACCCACTAACAGTAGAGACACCAGATCTGGACAAGGCAAAGTCATTTGATTCCTCTCTTTTCTCAACCAAAGCTTTATTTCCCCAATTAGATAGGTTCTTATGTAGTCAAGCTCAATTTGATGAGCACCCACTTGTGTTAGTTGAATCTTATGGGAAACAGATGCTAAGAGGGAGTCAGAAATGCAAGAGATTTTTTGAGGTGGTGGTTGGTACCTGTGCCAGGTAAAAGGGGGAAGAAACGGGATTATGTAGGAAGAACCTCCAACCCCAGTGAAGATTGGAGGAAGTCCCAGCCAACTTGATGGGGAGGTCGGGAGCACAGATCTCCCATTCGAGGAGCCTTGCCCAAGGTGGAAATGGTCAGGCCCTACTCAGTGTTTGGCTGGGGGCTTTCTCAGAAAGGATGTGGCATGGACCTAAAGGCAGAAGTGGACCCCAAAGATGCTGCAGCTACAGGCTCTCACCCACAGCAGTACATGCAGCTGAATGGCAAATTCTTTCTTAAAGGGTGAACTAAGCATCACATCTTGGTGATTACCATGCTCTTCTGTTCTACTAAGTGCTGAGCACTGTACTAGGCCCTGGGAGGGGGAAAGGAAGATAATGCCAAATTCCTCCTATATGTCATCCACATGGCTTAATATTGTCATTCGTTGATGTGCAAACAAAATCGGGTCTAAAATATCCTTTCGCAGATAAAAAGGCCTTCAAAGTAGCCATTAATTCCCATTACAACTGAAGTAAACTCCACAGTGTTCTCATTAATGGAGAAGTCAATTCAAGCAATGAGCTGGTGACACTTAATATGGGTCATAATTATATGCCACAGATAACTGTAAAATATGTTATTATGCTAAAAATTTATTTAAAAAAACCAAAGTCCTGCAAGAACTTGGTAGCAGCAATGCCAAGGCTTACCATTTTATCAGTTGCTTGTAGGCTCTGCAAACATGTGAATACAGGTAAATAAATATCTGACATTTGCTTGAGAGTATGTACTTTCAGATTTGACACTGTACTGTAGTGCAAACACTGGGTATGGAAGAATGGATTAAAAGAACACTACCAAACAGTCCTGAAAATAAAAAGCCATGGTGGTAACAATGACGATTGGTATTCCAGTTATCTTGTGTTGCTAAATATACCGCCCCTGACTAGTGTCCAAAAATGAGAACCATTTTATTACGCCCATGGATTCTATGGGTCGGGAAATGGATAGCGTATGGCAGGGTTGCTTTGTCTCTGCTCTATCATGGCCGTGGTTCAGCTGGGAAGATTCTTCAAGGCTGGGCCTGGAAGCATTAGGAAGCACAGAAGTGATGCCTGGGCTTTGCTGGGACTTTCCGACCAGAGCGGTGACACATGGCCTTTCCCGTAGCTTGGGCTTCCTCACAAAATGGAGGACTCAAGGAAGTCATGCGCTCTTCTGGGTTCAGGGGTCCAGTGCTGCAGGGAACAAGGCAGAAGCTGTATAGTCTTTTATGACCTAGCCTTGGAAGTCAAGGGGCACCGCTTCTGCCATTCTCTTTGGGTCAGAGAAGCCACAAGCCCACTCAGAGTCAAGATAGGAGGGCACAGAAACCCACCTCTTGATGGGAGGAGGGTCAAGAAATCTGTGGCTATTTTAAAGAACTACCGCAATACCAATAACAGTTATCATCAGCTGTGTGCCCAGCCTGGTACTAAGATATTGTGCATTTATTTCTTCACAATAACCTTATGAATTAGGTATCTCAATCTTCATCTTATAGAGAGGTTAGGTGACCTTCCCAAAGTCACACAGCTAGAAAGAGATATATCCACGATGAGGTGAGATTCTATACCATTGTAACCCATTCCTAATTTCATGCCTGAATGTCACCTGGCCCCTGACCTCTATTCCAGGACTGGCATGGGGAGAGAAGGCAGTTAGAGAAGAGGCATAAAACTGATTTAAAAGTATTTTCTCGCTCATGAGAGTAACTTAAAAGAAAAAGATTATTTCACGATTATATCTGTCATATCTAAATTCCTAAGTTGAAAATATACCAAAGTGGCCCTGTCAGAATGTCCCATTGCTTCCCGATGGGCTATGTTGACTTCTCTTCCATGCTCAGCTCTAGATGGAAATGTGATCGTGCCCATAAGGCATGTCTGGGTCAGTGTGGGCCTGAGTGAGGAAAGCCGCTGGCAGGACAGAGTATAAGGCTCAGTTTGTTTTCCATGGGTCTGCCTGCACGGGGCTGGCCCAGTGTGTCCTGTGGCAGGCAGCACCTGGCAGACACCCAGGCCTTGGTGGGTAGGGGGTCCCATCCAGGGAAGACGGTGATGTCATAGCTGCCCTGGTTTTAACCAGTGGACTGGGTGATTTCAGGAATGAGCAGGGCCAGCTCAGAGAGACAGGAACACTCCTCAGTCCAATCAGCCTGCCCTACCACTGTCCACATCCTAGGAGTAACCAGGCATTTCACACAGAAGTGCAGCCTGTCCAACAGCCTGTCCAAACATGTATTCCTGCCACAGCCCTGGAGTTGGCAGTAACTTTGGAACCACAAGGGCATCAGGTCTCCTGAAACCCAAGTCAAGACTCCCTGATCTTTACCATCCCTTCACCTCCCCAGGATCCTCCTACTGTGTGACTGGCACACAGTGGGTGATCACTTAACATTGAAAGAGGTGCACTTTGCATTTCACCAGTTCCGACAGTGGATAATCTGTGTCCCTCCAGTCCCTCAATTTCTGTTTCCATCTTCATCTGTATTGTCCTTGCCTTGGATTCTCTCCTCCCTCTCCAACTTCCCACTTCTAGGGATGATTCAAGATGGAATTCAGTTCTCCTTTTCCTCCAGGAAGGGTTTCTATAGCTCGTCTGTGTTATAGCTGAGTCTACATTAAAATTGCCTTCCACTGAACCCTCCGTTTGCTCACATGGCGCCGTCCATACGTCACATACTGTGCTGTCATGGACTCATGGGTCTGATTCACATGTGAGGATTCAGATGTGCCCAAGAAAATTTAGTAAATAAAATCTAGGTTTCTTTATTTTCTAGAAGTGGTTTCATTTTATCCTTGAGTCTCCATTTCCATTAATGGCAGAAAAAATTAAATTTGCCAATGAAAGGTAATGATTTCTTTAGTAAATACTCGGTCAATTCAGAATCCAAGTCTCCTTTCTCAAGATGCCCCTGCTCCCTGTCTGATTTCTAAGGTACCTCTGGGTGTCAGGAGAGCGATGTGCTCTCACAGTACCAGGGCACCAGCTTCCATTGAGTCTTCACTCTCTGCTGTGGGGGTGGTGGTGCCATACCCTGTCCCTTGGGTGCCATGCTGCCATGCAGTCCTTGACCCTTATCATTGCCCACTTCTGATCTCAGACTCTTTCTGATTTTCTTGTATCTTGGCACTTGTATCTTGTATCTTGTATCCCTGCACATTCAGACCCTGGGGAACTAAAGACCCCCTCTTAGGTCATGCAACCAGCAGTAGCATTCTGTGACTGACTTGCAGTCTCCTGCCTAGTGAGTTGGGAGCACAGTCTCAGATGGGGTTAGAGTCTCCCAAATCCATCTGGATGTTTCTACCTCCCCTGACTTCTACAGAGTACGCAGTGTCGCTGGGGGTTGGTCAAAGGTTCTTCCATACTCCTCACTCAGCACCGGCAAACTTTCTCTGTCTCCTTCCTGTCTAAGAAGAATACCCCTTATATTATATTCCCCTTTGCTCCTTCTCTGCAGCCACCTGCCCATATTCTGTGACTGTCACTCAGTGTGGCTTTGACTAAATGGCAGAAGGGAAGTGGCGAAGAAAAGTGCATCAGTATACAGTAACACAAACACACATATATTTTCCTTGTTACACTGATTTCTCTCCCTTCTCCTCTCTCCCCTTGAGAACAGGACTGGGTCTGACCCATTTCTGCAGCTCCAGGACCTTGAATGAGGTTTGACACAAAGGAATGCTTAAGGACTGTTTCTTGAGTGAACCTTACTTTCTCGGCTGCTGCCCTTGACTTCTGGAGATCTCAGTGCCTGGCCCTACACTGACAGTTGGTTTCATGTCCCACTGGAGGAAAAAAATGGATATAATACAATAATAAAGATAGGTACTAGATTTTGAGCAACTAGTATATATCAGATATAATACCAGCCACTTTAATCAGATTTTCTGTAAATTCATGCAACTCTGGGGGTTGGGCTTGATAATTTTCCTTTTGCAGATGCAAAAACTGATGTGCAGAGAGACTAAATCTTTTACCTGGATGTATTTTGTTAGTCAGTGAAAGAACGGACATTTGAACCCAGGAAGTGTGGCTCCAATGCCCGGAGCCTTTTACTGAGGTTCACTGGAAATAAGAGGTGTACCTGTGAATTGTCCTTCAGAACTGAGGAAATGAACCCTGATCTAAGATGGTCTTGGAATTCAAGCCTTGCAAACCCACATCTCCAGGAAGGCAGGCCTTGGAACGGCAGGTTAGAGTTTGGGATTCACTGGTGCCAAATCCTTGTTATATGGGACACACCATATGGAGCCTAGAATTCATCACAGCCTTTGGCAGGCAGCCTGGCCTGGAAATAACCCCAGAAGGCTACATTTTGATCAGGAAGCTTGCAGCTGTTTTTCAAAGTCATCGTCAGAATTTTAAGTTATTGTATTTTTAGTAAACCTACGTGCCCCTCATTTTTTAAGCCGGTCTTCTAGTTTCCTTGATGTTCGGGGCTATCACAGTGGGCATATGTCATGTGTTTGCTGGGACGTTGAGAATTTTGGAGAGGTTAGCACACCTTGCTGAGCCAAGCAAGAAATGGGGCCTCAGGAAACAAAAAGTCCTAAGGAGAGTTAAGCACAGAAACAGCTGTGGCCTCGTCTCCAAGCCTCAAGGTTGCAGTGGGGAAAGAGAAGGAGTACAGAGGAGCTCTGAGCACTCCAAAAACATGGGCAGTGCCTCTTTCCCCAAAGTGAGACATCTGGAAGACCGGGCAGATACCCTCAGGATTGAGCCTCCAGCCTGTTAGGCCAGTTTGCCGCGGGGCCTGCATGGGATGCACAGACCCCTTAGAACTCTCCATTTTTGATGTTTCAAGTGATTCCACAGATCCACATTATGCTAGGGCCAAATTCTTGAAAGCGAAGGCACATTTGAATTCTCCAAAGTAAAGCCACGTTTTAGTCTTTGGCTGTAAAGGACTTGGAATCCAGCCACCCTGGATCTTGAGAGAACAGTGATTCCAGTTTTGAGGTTGGAGGAATCCTAGAATTCAGAGGCCAGGCCCAGCCTGGGAGAGAAATGTATTTCGATCTGATGTCATCCCCCACCTCCACCCTCCATCACCCAAACCCAAGCTTATGGAACAGCGTAGCTCCTGGTACATTCTTATCTGCATGAACTGTGTTGTGAATCAATAGGGTGTCAGGCTTTTGCTTAGTGGGTAAAACGTCTAGATTACATGGATGACCCATGGAAATGGCCTGGGTGTTTGTTTCTTCTTTCTTCCCTTGAGGATGCCAATTCTTCTGCGGTTGTGTCTACACAACGGGTTGAGAAAGGGAAGAGGCAGAGAAAAAAAAAAGCCACATGTAAAATTCTGGGTTTTTGTTTTTTGTTTTTTGCTGCACAATACCAACAGATTGTGTGGCTGACTTATTTTTAACTGGGTGTTTGTGTGAATGAACCAAACTGGTGAGTTGCCTGGGCAGTGTTGAGATTAGAGGCAGGCTGATCAAAGGCTCCAAGGGCAACCACTAATTTGACCAAAAAACCACAAAAATCAAAACCCACAGTAGCTAGACAGAGACATGTCAATTTGGACTGCCTTTAGGCCTAATGGTCAGCCTAGAGCCCTAGCAAAATCAGCCATACTTTTGACCATTAAAGTAGCTGATCCTCATCATTCACTCTGCCAGTTTGGCTTATCTGATCCACTTTTCAGGAGAGCTTGGAGAAAATGGCATGTGTGTGTGTGTCGGGGCTAGGGAAGAAATGGTTGGACATACAATAGTGACAGTTGATTTTAATGACCAATTAGGTAGAACAAGAAGGAATCCAGTGACAGGGTGGCCAGTTGATTACCCAGTGGCCAGTCCAGTCACTTGTATGAGTTTCTATTCTTCATTTCTTTGGAGTTGGGAAACCTATTTGATCTCTCTCTTCATATGTCTAACAAGAGATGGGCTGATTGTAGGTTAAATATGTAATGGTGAAACTGTGTGGCCCCCAGAAGACATGTTGAAGTCCTAGCTTCAATCCTGGTAACTCATAATGCAGCTTTATTTGTCCATAAAGCCATTGCTGATATAACTGGTTAAGACGAGGTCATAATCAAGGAGGATACACCCTTATGAATGGTGTCTTTATGAGGAAAGGAGAAGAGACATGGAGACAGAGACACCAGGGAGAATGCCACTTGGTGATAGAGGCAGAAGATGGGGTGATAGAAGAAGGAATGCCACAGTTTGATGACCTCCCCCAGAAGCTAAGAGAAAGGTATGGAACACATTCTTCCCTGCGGGTTTCAGAGGGAGCATGGCCCTGTGGCATCTTGAGTTCAGGCGTCTAGCTTCCAGAACTGTGGGACAACACATTCCTGTTGCTTTAAGCTACCCAGATTGTGGTGCTTTGTTATGGCAATTCTGGGAAACTAGTCCATCTCCTTCGAATAATGAAAAGAGTTAAGGGATAAAAACACACAATTCATCTCAGTCCCATTTTCCAACATGGATTCTGCAGTACTCTAATTCCCTAAGAAGCACGCAAAACATGTTTTCCACAGTCAAACAAATTTGGAAAATACTCTATACCATTGTCTTAGAACACAAAAAGCATTTTTAGACGTGAAAGGCCCTGACAAGTGTGCGTCCAGGAATCCTCTTTCACTTTGAACAAGGCAGCATTTTTCAAATATCTCAGACAATGGAACCCTTTTGGACAAAATACCTCTCTACTTCCCATGAAACTAGTCTTTCATGGATAGCTCTTTGGGATATCTGTGATGGCTAATAGGATGTGTCAAAGTGACTGACTGGGCTAAGGGATACCCAGATGACTGTTAGAACATTCTTTCTGCATGTGCGTATGAAGATGTTTCCAGAAATTGTCATTTGAATCGGTGAACTGAGTAAAGCAGATGGCTCTTCCCAGTGTGGGTGGGCACCGTCCAATCCGTTGAAGGCCCAGATAAAGCGGAAAGGCAGAGGAAGGGTGAGTCGGCTCTCTGCTTGAGCTCAGATGCCCCCCCATCTCCTCCTGCCCTTGGACCGTCATACTCAGCATTACACCACTGGCTTTCCTGCGTCCAGTCTATGGACAGCACATTGCTGGGCTACTTGGCCTCCATACCCACATAACCAATTCCTAGAACAAATCTCCTTAGATATATCCTGTTGGTCTTATTTTTCTGGAGAACCCTGATTAATACTGATATCCAAACTTTTCCTTTTATAGAGAACCTGAGAACTAGAGAAATAAAGAAACTTGTCCAGAGCCCTATATTGGCATAGCTTGAATTCTAACTGTCCTATGGCAAAGAGTGTAGTCATGTACCGGCCTCGTGGTAGATGGAGAATGCCCCAGTCAACCAGCGGGCTCTGCCCTTAATTGACCTGGTGACCTTAGGAGACTCATGCCTCCTTCTGGGCCCCAGATTCCTCATTTAGAAAGTCTGAGGCTTGTCATAGTCTAGTGTTAGGTGTTGTCTCCAAATTCACATGTGGAAGCTCTGACCCCCAAGGTGACAGTATTTGGTGGTGGGTGCCTTTGGAAGTTAATTAGGTTTAAATTAGGATGAGGCCAGGAGGGTGGGATCTCCATGATGGGATTAGTGTCCTTATAAGAAGAAGAGGTGGGAACCCCACCCACCCACGCTCCTACCATGTGAAGGCACAGGGAGGAAGTAGAAGTCTGTAAGCCAGGAGGAAGGGAAGGTCCCCACCCAAACTTGGCCCTGGTAGCAGCTTCATCTCAGACCCCCAACCTCCGGAACTGGGAGGAATAGATGTCTGTAGTTGAAGCCCCCATCTCTAGTATTTCATTATGGCAGCCTGGGCAGCCTAAGACAGTATGAAGATTATATGACTATTGATCTTGCCTGTATGTGGCTAAAAGGTGTAATTTATGCTTGGATGGAAACCTCTGTCTAAAGGGCCAAATTATTATTTTGGTAAATGATGTATTACACTTCCCTTGTCCATTTCTCATCTTGGCCCTGTCAGCAAATTCAGTGCTGATGAGTTAATGTACATGAAAGTGCTTTGTAAACGGCAGGGCAATGCCCAAATAGAAGGACTTGGTTTTATGCTATTTAGGTTGAGAGCAGTGCAGCCGGGCTGAAGGCAGCGTGCACCTGATAGCATGTGTTGGCACCGAGATCCCGGGTGTATGAAGTGGAGCGCATGTGTGTTTCAATTTCAGTTTAAGTGAAAATTGAAGAAACAGCAGAGCAATATGTGTGTAAGCATGTGATCTTGGAAAAACCGCTCAAAGCCACAACCAGACCCCTAACTTTTAATATCCGTGTGGTTTTGGGTGAGTAACTTATCCTCTCTGTAACTTGATTTCTTCGTCTGAAAAGTGGGTGTTTCCTATTTCATAGGGTTGATGAGATTAAATGAGGTAATGCATGTGTGCCAGACATAGACATGCTTTTCTATTTTGATTGGCATATCTAGTTGCACATATGAAATGTGTGCAAGGGGCATGTGCATATGTTGTCTTTCCTTCTATATTTTACAAATTGTTTTGTTTCCTGTGGTTTGGCTTGTGTTCTCCAAGTCAACCATCAGAAATAAGAAATAGAGGAAGGTATCTTGGAAGTATAGTGCTGGACAGTCTGGGCTTTGGAAGACAGTTGAGGTGCTGCCCCCCCTACCATCCAATGCCTGCACCCTCCTCTTCACCACCTTGTAGTCGTACATTTGGGACAAACACTTGAAGCTTTCAAGCTTTACCCACAAAGGTCTCGGCTGCACATTGCAGCCCGTTACCCAAAAGGCTGGCCTCACTTAGAGGAGGATTAAACCTCCTCTGTAGCAGGGGGAAAGTAAGGATGTGGAGAAACAGTTGCGTTTCAGAGCACTCTAACCTCCCTACCTGGGCTCTGTCCTTGGCACGCAATCGGGGACTTTGCTGGAGAAGGCAAACATTTGAGTCCATTATTTTAAAAGCAGCAGAAAATAGACTCTAAGAAAGAAAAAAAAATTCACTGTGCACTGGCCACAGGAACTTAATGGCCATTTTGATCTCTGCCTCCCGCCTGGCTGAGGGTGTCAGGAGCCATGCTCTCAGCTTGCAAAAAAATGTCATAATGAAGTGTTCACGTAATGGAGAGTTAATGGAACTGGGAGCCAGAGTTATAACAAAAGGGCCTTAAAGGAGGGGAGGGGTATAATTTATTAACAGCAATATCTGGAGCAGAGAGCCTGCAACATTTATGAGAAAAGAAAATGGGACCTTTCACCAGAACCCAAGGTTTCTGCTCTCCACAGGATTGAGCAACACTCGTTGGAGAGAGCCAGGTGCCTCCCCTGTCCCGGTTAACACCGGCCCCTCTTCCTTAGAGCAGAGTGGGTGGCTCTACTAAGGCAGTGCTGGGGATCCTAGGCCCCTCTCCTACCTCCCCCACAGAAGGAGACATTCTGTGTATGACAAGGCTGTTGTGGTCCTTACCAGCAGAACATGGTGACTTCAGGTGCTGGGGGCATCTCTCTTGTAACTTGGTTTATTAGTCAGGGTTCTGTGGGGTGTGAGATGCAGAAACACAGTTCACGCTGACCTAAGACTGAGAAAAAAAATGGGTTATGGGTCTTATTTTGGACTCCCCCCTGAAACATATCTTGAGACAAAGAGATGAGTTTATTTGGGAGATGCTCCCAGGAAAGCATGGTTAGGTAGAGGGGAAATGAGTCAGGGAAGAGAAGGAAGCCTTTATTTGGCTTTGTCAAACTGGTTTCAGTGTGAGAATGGGACTTAACCCACTGGCTCCAAACCCTGGGTGATATTATAGAGCATCCTTTTGAGTTACCTCAATGGAGGGGCAAAGAAGTTGGAGACGTTACCCATTCAATCCCTGCAGCCATTGGTTGAGGGCTACTGCTGGGGTTTTAATGATCTTGCATTCCTGACTTTTCCTGTGTGATGCCAAGGTTACTCCTGTAGCCAAGGACAGGGAGAGGGACCTCCAGGAAGAGTCCTAACAGTTTTCTGTAAACAGTTCTTGGCAAGTAAAAGGTAACTGCCCAGCAGGTATGGATGCATCATCCACCGCATCTGCCAAGGAGGGAAAGGTATTAATTGACTTAACTGATTGAAAATTTTGGATGTGCACTAGCTTCAGGCACAGCTGGATCCAGGGGCTGGTTAGAGCCAGGAGCGCTGTCAGAACACCGCCTATATTTTTAATTACTTTCTTTTATTATTTATTTGTATTATTTATTGTTTTTTTTCCAATTCCCAACATCAGCTCCATTCTTAGCTGATGGTGTGCTGATTGCCAGTAGCTCCAAGCTTTTATCTATTTCAGCCATTCTAGTGAAAAAGAACACGTTTTCCCCCTCCCCCAATTTTAATGTCCTGGAATTTGTTTCTTATTGACTTGGCTTGGTTAGTGAACTGTAAGATATTTAACAATTAAGTTAATCTTTCTGGGCCCCCAGAGTCTTTTCCTGCATCAAAACTAAGTCTGATTTTCTCCTCTGTCCATTAGGAAAGTGTTCAGCTACCAGTAAAAGAGAACCTAATATATGGCTTAAACACGTTTTCCCTTAGATCACATAAAGTTAGATAGTAGGTGGGTGTTTACATTGGTTCAGGTTCTTGGGGAGGCCTTGTAGGCAGGGCTCTGTTTATCTTGCCTTGCTTTGTGGGTTGACTTTTTAATCCCCTTCCTTGTTGCCCCTTCTACAAAATAGATGCTGAAGCACCAGACCAATGCCTAAGTAGGAGGAAAAGAAGACGGATGCAAGAAGGGCTTCTTAACAATGTCTCTCTCTTACTGTTAGGAAAGCAAACCCTGTTCCAGAGACCACCTCCCTCAGTAGACTTATGCTTCTGTCTTCTTGGTCTCTCTTTAGTCATCTTTTAACTTCTGCCAGCTGCAGGGAAGATTGTGAGGTGGAAGATAAACATGCTTGTTCGGTTTTAGTTTAATCCATGTGGTCTGGGGCACAGTCATATCATGTCACTCTTCTGAAATATCAGACCATGTCACTCCATGTCACTGCGAGTAAGTCTTCATGGTATCCTGCAAGACATGCCAGATCTGGCTCCTGGGGCATTTCTCATCCCGTCCCTTGCTGCTTGCTCTCTGCCTGACTTCATTCTGGCCACACTGGCCTCCCAGGTCCCATCCTAGCCCCTCTGTGCTGCTGGCTGTTTCTTCTGCATGGAAAACTCTTTCCCTTAATGCCCATATGGTCACCTCACCTCCTACACATCTTTGTTTAAGAGTCACCTTCTCAATCAGGCCGACTCACATGCCCCTCCCTTTCTTG